CTCTTCTTTAACAAGATGCAAGGGCTGATGCAGGGATGTTCATTGCTGCTGTGAGAAGTTGCTTTGTTTCTTCCTGTAATTCCATCCTGACTTGGCAATGCAGGCTCAGAGTTATCATTTCATTTGACCTGTAAATCAATCTGTGTAACATGCAAAGTGACCACGAATGCAAAGGAAATGAGAACAAAGTCATTTGAAAAGCATTTTATGTGGCACATTCCACGGCTGTATTTATGTGTGCTTTACTCCTTCCATGAGGAAACAGTGAAATATGCAGAACTGTAACACAAATACACAAAGAAATAGGAAAAAGGAAGGATAGAGTGAGAATATTTATGTATGTTAATGAAGAATGGAGGGATTTAAGAAGAACCTGATCTCTTAGCTTTGCAGCAAGGAATAAGGATCTGCATCTTCTGTTCCATCCTGGCCTGGACTTRGAGCATGACAAGGGTAAGTTGCTTTGCCTCTGTGTTTTACTCCTCTAACTTAGCAAGGAATGTGAAAAATATTGTATTTTCGTAACACTTTGTGTATTATGTTATATTTGTTGTTGCAATAATACTGTGTTGGTAAACTTTTTTAAGGATGACTTCATACCTTAGAAAAATTTGCTATGTCCTGATGTTTAGCATTTGTTTATAGAAAARTAAGTATTCTGAAGTTTCCCAAATTCAGATCCCACGATTTATCTTTTTGACTAAAAATCCTAAGCACATCTAGGTGTAATTAGAGGAGAGCTCTGTTCTTTTCCTCTTTTGCAAGACCTGCTTTAAATGCTTTTTAACATTTTCTGTCTTCTCTCACATCAAGAGTGAATATCTTGCTGTTGACACTTCCTTGTCTGTGTTGCTCTGTTGCTTTKCACTCAGTCCTTGTTATGAGGGTGGGTGGTTTTGTATCACAAGGAGCTAAATAGCCTTATCCAGAGTACTTGCACCCTGCAGCACCCTGGGGTGGCAGAGGGATCAGTGCTCTGGTCCCTGTGCCAGTGAGTCTCACTGCTCTGAGCTGTGTCAGTACCTCTGATGGGACAACTCTACTCATTCAGGGCTTAGATACAGAAATATTTAATAAGTCAAATGAAGGGAGGGTATTGCAGGTATTTCAGCAAAGCCTATCCTTGAGTAGCTTTAAGAGTTAGGCCCTTGTTCTTTCCTGCTGTTGCTGTGCCCCGGGGCACCCCAGAACTCGCTGTCCTGCCTGTGACTCAACAGCAAACACCGCCTGTCATCTCAGCTCACGCCTCTGCTGTGCTCTCTGTGCTCTGCCTGCCTGCTAAAGGCTCCTTTCTACAGCATCTTCCACACTGAGAGCCCTTCTTTGGGTTCCTGTGAGCTCACAGCCGGAGCACAGCTCCTGTTCC